CCGCTGTTGCGCGGGAGGGTCCGGACGAATCTTGGCGAGGTGACAAAACTCACATCAAAACCGCCGATGCGCATAGGTGCGGTGTCGAGTCTTTCCACTTCTACTGGCCTGGTTTGTGTGTAATCACCGCTTGTGCCTCGACTCTGGTGCTCGACAAAACGTTCTACAGAAAGGATGCCATTGAATAAGAGCTAATCAGGATGAAGTAAACACAAGTACCGAAAAAGTCCCAGGCGTAGAGCCGACGTCGTTGGAATACACCAGAAGTGCGGATGCCGTGAGTGAAGACGGCTTCCAATGCGGGTGCTAGACCGTACTCTTTACTGCAAAGCAATGCTGATAGAGATATTGTGGCCTCCACTCGACTGGCACAGGCAAAGTGCTTTGCCAGACGATTTACTGCATTCGCCAGTCTATCCAGCACCGCGCCAGTCACTATGATGGCCAAAAAAGGTTGTTTTAATCGATGCGGCGCTCACCTATCGTCTGATTTGTTAATTGAAAAAAAAGCACAATATTTCGTGACTTTGTAGGGAATGAGTGACATCACTCACCAGGATCGAGAATCGTGTCGGAGTACAGTCGCATTAGTGGAGTAGCCAAGTTAGAGGCTGCTTCTTCACTTTCTACAGACGCATGCTCTGCAGATCGGGGCACCACAACTGGAAATAAGGGAACGAATGCCGTGAAGTTAGTAACAGTCGGTGAGATGTATTGAGTTCAAGGGGATTGCAAACTTACTGGTTCCTTCTTTAGTGACTCGAGCTATTTGGCCGATTAGGAGGCGTTCACAACTGTTGTCCTCAACTCCACGACCCAGCCAATGACCACATGGGAATCTGAAGCAAATAAAGAGAAAACAAACGAACTCCAGGCAGAGAGCGGTTTCGAAATGCTCATCGACCCAGCAGTAAGATATTTCAATGATGCAATTATTTCAAAGACAGCCTCACATCTGTGCAAATGGTAATATTATAAGCGAAGAGAAAAAAAAAAGATGGCACTCACAAGTAAGCATGGTTGGTCAAGGGTGTGACAACAAGTACCGTCTCCACGAACATGTTGGGTGAGAAACCGGCGTTATCATGGCCAATTAAGAGGGTGTTGATTATACCCAGGTTTTGGTGCTGGAAGGAAAAAAGAGTAATGAAAGGGCACTGGAATTAAAAAGGCGTTCGCTCCTAACTTGACATTCAACATCCACTTTGTGCCACTGCTTAAAAAGAATCCAAAAAAACGTGAAGTCTCTACTGAATGTACCTCGAGTAAGTTTCCTCCAATTGGCAATTAGGCAGCAATTTTATGGAGGTGAAGTGTAAAGTGAGATGGAAAATCACCCGGAACTCCACATAGGATGGCGAAGCGCGAGGAAGCGGCACATGACCCGAACTGCCGAGATGTCCACGTAGACACACCCAAGCGTTGGCTGAAAAGGCCAGAGGGAGACGAGCGCGCCCACCTCCTCCACCCACAATAGCTACCCGGTAGAGCATCTCCGCTTTCTGCAACATCCGTGTGAACGAGAAGTAGTCCACCGCGTCCAGGGAGAGTAGGTGAACCAAAAACTGCTCCCTCTCCTCCTCGCACCGAAGAAAGGCGTGTCGAGAATAGAGCTCTCTGCCAGAAGAGGAAAAAAGATGCATAAAAATGGGCTTCCTAAAGTTTTGGAGCAAACAAAGAAGTTGCTCAAGTAGAACGGGCCTTACTAATGCAGGATTACAATCGTGACTGGAAAATGTGATGCATCTGACGACTCAACTCACCTTAAAAGTACAGCATCGGAGAGGAGAAGTTTGAGGTAGGCCGAGAGCCGTTTCTTCTCTAACGCCAGTCGAACGAAAGCCCTAGCAAGTCCGATGTTTGTGCAGAGTTTGTAGCCTGCAGAGGAGGCGACACTTTTAACCGCTTCCACGTCGTCCAATAATGCTGTAACTGAAGAGCCTCCAGCATCAAAGAGCGATGACACCGAGATAACCAGCGTATCATCGGGTAGGCGTGAGGGTCTTGGGGAGTCGGAGGAGGGCACGGCGGGTGTACTAGATCGACTACGCGTCGGTGCCCACAGCGAACGACGTACGCGTGCTGTAGCGGGGGGTGACAGAGCAACGATCTCGGAGGTATTCGTCGTTGAGGTGAGGCGAAGTGGTAGGCTGTCAAACTTCCTCGAGCCTAGAGCAGTTGAGGGTGAGCGAGGCAAGCGGCCGGTAAGGTCGGGTAAGTGGGTGGGGGCGCGCGCGGACACCGCGAGGGATGAGAGCGAGGGACAAGTATTCCGCTCCACGAAGGCCAAAATATGCATCCACAGTGCGGAGGCACCCTAAAAGAAAACAGTGATAAAAATCCACTTTGATGGAGGAGAATCAAAGGAGCTTAGGTGGTTCACATGTTTGCGCTGGATGCCATGGGACCAGATGCGCTCAAGGAGGTCACAGAGCCCGGAGACCAGAGTGTTCTCCTCCACTTCCGACACCGATTGGTAGTTGTGTCCCAGATGTAGCGCCTCTTGACCCATCTTCTGGATCACCATCCGTTTCGTCTTTTAAAAGAGGGAGCAAAAGAAGAACGGTCTTAATGATCGTAAAATTTACGAGGAAAAATTAAACATAAATTTGAGTAGTGTCGCAGGACCTCCATGTAGAATCATGAAGAATGCTCGTAGAAAAAACGTTGATGTGGAGTTTACTTTATCAGTAGGGGAAATTAAATTAGGAGAAAACACTAGTGTTTCTCCTGGATATTTCAAAGGCATTCAAAGACAGTGGCAGGTGTGGAGAGCACTGGACGAAAGAGAAGAGCTCACCCGGTGTTTGCATTCCTCTAGGAGGGAGTCAACAAAGTCCCAGTGGGCCTGGGCCATCGAGGGTGACAGAGAGCCCGTCTCGAGTCCATTGGGCCACGGTCCTGTCAACAGACGCGTTAGTCCGTCGCGACCTCGCAGCTGTAATTAGAATTGTTAGTGGATAAAATTTCCCTTCGTTTTGTGAATTTCACCGGAAACATCTACCACTTTTCAACAGAGACTAAGAAGAGATAGCTCGGAACACAATGGTAAGCGAACCCGATCTAGGAAGGCAGCAATTTTGACTTGCACAAGTGGACATCTAACCCGGGCGTTACAAATCAACTCTAGGGACGATATGCATGCGGCGTATGCCATTGTTATGGAGGACCCCGGCTCTACCATCTATGCCAAAAAACGCTGAGATTATTCCTTTTTATTTAAATGAACTATCAGGATCACAGTGAAAGACGAAGGATGGATAATGAGCAAGCTTACTAACCTGGATGGTGCGAGATGCGGTGGACTGGGGACCACTAGCTAAGGACTGTTCTAGCGTGGGCGGAGACAGAGCCTGCGGTGCCAAGCAATGCTCGCAGAGTACCGCTCTCGGAGCCTCGTCCCCACCGCAACCGACCTGGAATCTCGTTGATGGCACCCCCATCATCTCTTCTTCTAGCCTGGTCGTCGCTACTACTGTCGATTCCTCTGTCAGCAATGGTGAGGGCACGATGGCCATTCCAGAAGGTGGTGGAGGAGGTGGCGACTCACTTCCACACTGACGGTTGGCCGATGCTTTGCTCAAAAAGCTTCGCTCCAGAAGGCGAAAGTAACCCGGCTACGGAAAATAAAAAAGAAAAGCGTTTAAACAATTGCCGATAGGTTTTGTTGGTGACAGTGATAAGAGAGATACTGGAATTCAATAATCATGACGGAGAATGGGTGGAGTAAGACTGATGCTGACAAATAACCCCACACGGATTTTTTTTTTTTGAAATGAGCACAAAAATAATAAAGACAAAGTAGTTCCTGTTTCAAAGCAGCTACAATGAATTCGATACTTGAAAATGAAACAAAACCTTAGTCGACAATGACATTGCAATACTCAGGAGTGCCATTTGATGTCGTTTCTTTGGTTACCAGTTACCTGATGTGAACGCCGAAGCGTAGAAAACGAGGGATTTATTTTTGAGAAGAGGGGATGAGGCGACGGCACACTGCAAAACTGAACGCCGTCCAGTGGAGATTTTGGAATATCTACAAGCATAAAAACGATCGAGATGACAAATGTCTGGCTGCATTATCTGTAGGAATGCTTAAAAAAATTCCACAAGGCGATAAGGAAGAAGCATTCCCAAACCACCCACTTTCAACAAATCGATCTCTCCTCCTGCCGCGATCGACGTCTGGAGTGTGCGTTGCTGATTGGTGCATGGACTTGCGCAAAAGACGATCAGTGGCGGGTCTTTGATGATCTGCCGCGGCTTGGAATTTGAGGGCTCGAATCCGAGCCAGAAATGAAGAAACCTGTGGCACAATCGGCTGAGAACTTGACGCAGTGGATGGAAACCCTCCACCACGTGACATTCCGCACTTGCCGCAACGTCGAGGCTGATTTACTGTCAGCGTTGCGACATGGGCATCCAAAAAGGTGGCAAATATTTGAGTCTCCAGGAAGGCACTGAGAAAAGAACCGACGTTAATATTATAGCAGAACGAAAGTAGGATCTTCGCCAAATTTATATATTCGCGACTTTTTCCAGCGTTTGTTTTCAAGATGTGCAACACAGTTGCTGAAGATTTACCTGAGAAAGGACATGTGAGTTTCAGGGCAGTCCGAAAGAAAGCCGACTTTATCAAAGGCTTGAAGACCCGAACTTCCAGTTCCACTTGCATCCTCAGAGCCATCACTACTGTTGTGTCCAACCACTACAAAGGTCTCAAAGTCGACAAATATTTCTGCGAGGTGATTTAAAAAGATATCACGCAGGACGTAGTTAAATTTGAGTAGCTCTGTATAGTCTGCCATCTCCTAGGGAGGGAAAATCGCACTTTGAGACCAAGATACCATCGAATTAAGCAAGAGCCTTATTCCTGAATATGTACCCTTCGAGAAACCATTTCATTAGCGATTTCCCGCATACATGAGAAGTACTCCTCGGAGGGATATGATCCACTCTTTGGGGGATCGGAACTCGTCGTTGAGGAGGCAATCGCAGTATCTGCGAGGGAGTTTTGTGGAGGTCCTTCGGAATCGACGACATTTGTTGCTGCAATCTGCTCAATCAAGCGGTAAGATGCGGATCGCTAAAAGTAGGGCATATTAATAGGCATTAACGTTGTTATTTTTAATTGGTGCCAGAAATCCTTAAACCGTTTCCGTGGTTACTCTTGGCATCGTGATCGGGTAAGAAGGAAGCGACAAAACAAAACAACACACCTCAAACCACACAAAAGCGATGCGGTATTTTAGTCGTTAAAGAAAGCGAACCCCAACGCTAGCACAAACCTGAAGAGCCGGAATTTGGCTACAACAAAGCAGGTGGATAGGAAAATGATAGAAAATCATAAAAATCCCTAACAATTAATTACGAAAAGCAAGTATGTACCCGCATAACTGGTAGATTCGGGTCCAGTTGAGGTCGTTTGATTACCGTGGAAATCGACAGAGCCTCCGAGGTGGGTCTGGGCAAAGGTCGTGAAAGTGTATCGAAGCCTTGAAGGGGAAGAAGGAAGTTCAGTAAAACACCCTCAATTTTCCAAAGTAACATTCTGTTTTTCCTTCGTGACACAATCAGGGTTAAACACAATTATGCTACATATGTGACACTAAAACCATGAAAATAAATTAGACTCAAGGAGAGAAGGAAGGCAAACAACAGTAGCTTTTATGTTGAGGAGAAGAGCTAGCACAATGCAATAAAAACGAAAAAGATGGAAAAAAGTATTGCTTAACCAGATGGGAGAATGATGAAAAGTTGACCACAAAGGTGAGATAATACTTACTTGGGTTTCGTGGGACCGACTGGCTACGCGGTAAAGGCGTGGAGGTAGTGATAAAATTGGAGTCCAGGGAACGATCTAAGTTCTGATTGTTGGGTTGCTGATGCTGGTAAGTGGCTAGGACTGCCTCAATGTTGTGCTGTAATTCAGTGGAGTTTGGAAATGTCGGCAAGTCCACATCCGTGGAGTGGACAGCACCCTGATCGATGTCCAAGTAGCAGACGTTAGCCTGTGGAATACAAGTATTGATGATCGTGAGTAGGAAGATCGCATTAAGTGGTCCAAAATTAAATTGCTTTGGCTGTTAGAGTTGGGTAAATGCAAACTACGATGATAGCGAAACTAATCAGTTGATTACTTCTATAGGATAAACGTGCGCTAGAGAGAATGGGAAAAGTGTAAAGCTAGCCCACTTCACTAGCCAATCCAAAGTTGGAGAAGGATGGAAGTGAAGGCAATGAACCACGCGGAGTGCCTGTTGCAGAAACTGGTTGCGACGGTGACGGTTGCGGGGGCATAGGTGGGTGCTGAAAACGCATCCCCATAATGTACGGCACAGGAGCATCGAGGAAGTGAGTTAGTGTGGCTGGCAGCACGGG